GAAAGCCCTTACATAACGCGCGTCAGTGCTCTGCAGTCGCCATCCGGGTCTCAGACCTGGATTTCCATGGAATCATTTTAAGGCCCTTCCAGACAACCATATAAACCAGAATATCAAGGCAGAAAATCCCACGATATCTGCTTTGAACTGGAATATATGGTAGTGTGGACTCTGGGAACCCAGGGCCCTTCCACACAGCCCTATATCCCAGAATATCAAGGCAGAAAATTCCACAATATCTGCTTTGAACTGGGTTATCTGAGTCCACACTCAGATAATGTGGGATTTCCTACCTTGATATTCTGGGATATAGGGCTGTGTGGAAGGGCCCTGGGTTATCTGAGTCCACACTACCATATATTCCAGTTCAAATCAGATAATGTGGGATTTTATTCAGCCGTGTAAAAAAAACAACAACCCCCCACTTTCTTGAAACTGCATTAAATGGTCAAAATGCCTCTTTGCGATACTTCTTTTCCTTTTCTTTCCCTTCCTTATTTTTCTCCACAAAATAAAACCCGGAAAAGGAAGGAAGCCCAGCGTTTCCCCTTCCTGACCCAAATGAGGAAATTTCTGTTTTTAGCTTGACTTGCACAGAGACATAGAAAGAGGCCCCATTCCACGCAGCTGAACAAAATCCCACATTATCTGCTTTGAACTGGAATATATAGCAGTGTGGACTCAGATAACCCAGTTCAAAGCACATATTGTGGGATTTTCTGCCTAGATATTCTGGGTTATATGGCTGTGTGGAAGGGCCCAGAGAGCATTCTGTGTGTATGTGTGAGAGAGAGTGAGAAGAATTGTGGCATTATTATTATCCCCGTCTACATTTACTATTTAATGCAGTTTCAAGCTAGCTCCAAACCGCCCGCGGCCAGGCAACAAACTCTGGATCTACACCGCCATATAAAATCCTACATCGTGCTCACCACGATGGCCACCCTCCAGTGTAAACTAATGTACATATAATCCAGATAATCTGGATTGTATGGCAGTGTAGATCCAGCTTCCCACCGCACTGAATGCAGTTTGTTGTCCACGCCTCCAAACTATGGATCCACCTGCAGAGCCGGGAAACACACTTCCTTCAGCAACAGTTCGAAACTGCATTAAGTGTCCATCTTGGAGAGGATTTATTTCCCTGTGGTTTGTTGTCCTCACTATCCGGGTCTCGGAGCAGGGTCTCCTCAGAGGGAGCGCCTGCAGAGCAGTGGCCAGGGCCTGAGAAGTTCTTTCAAGTCCCAAAGTGAGGCTGTTGTCTGTTGACATATATATATCTATTTATATATATTGTTTGGAGTCCCAGGAAAGAACAAAGGCGTCCCTCTCCTGGAGGACAAGGTCTTTCCGGCCATGAGTCAATCAAAGGGAAGGAGGGAGGGAGGAAGGGAGACGGGGGCTACTGGGCCTACTGGGCGGGCCACTTGGCGGCGGAGGGCGGCAGGAACTGTCCCGAGAGCAGGTTCGTGGGCACGGAGAGCAGGGGCCCGATGGCCGCCGTGCTGCGGGACAGCGAGAGCGGCTGGTGGGCGAGCAGGCTCGACTGGACGCTCACCGGCGGCCGCAGGAAAGTCTGGCTGATGGAGGAGGAAGAGGAAGCGGAAGTGGAGGAAGAGCTGGCGGCGGCTGCGGCGGCGGCTGCGGCGACCCCGACGCCGCCGATGATGTTCTCGATGCTGAAGGAGGGCCGGCTGGAGGCGGAGGGCTCGGCCTTGATGGGCCCGGCCCCGGCGGCGCCGAGCCCGCTGAGCTGGATGCCGAGCTGGGCGTTGAAGGCCTTGCGGCTGAGCTCGGCCCCGGAGGCGGGCAGGAGGGGCACGGCGGGCGGCAGCATGGGCCCCACGGGCGGGATGTAGGGGTAAGGCACGGCGGCCGGGTGCGGGTAGGCGCCGTGGGGCAGCCCGTAGGCCCGCCCGTAGGGAGAGCCCCCTCCCCCGGCCCCGGCCACGGCGGCGGCGGCGGCGGCCAGGCTGTAGGCGCCGAAGCTGTGCATCATGAGCGCGGTCTGCTCGCGGAGCTGCTCCTGCTGGTGCCGCTTGAAGCGCTTCCGTCGGCGGAGGAAGGAGCCGTTGTCGAACATGTCCTCGGACTGCGGGTCCAGGGTCCAGTAGTTGCCCTTGCCCGGGTTGCCCGGCTCGCGGGGGATCTTGACGAAGCAGTCGTTGAGCGAGAGGTTGTGCCGGATGGAGTTCTGCCAGGCCGGGAACTTCTCCCGGTAGTACGGGAAGCGCCCGCTGATGAACTCGCAGATCCCGCTCAGCGTCAGCTTCTTCTGCGGGCTCTGCAGGATGGCCATCGTGATCAGCGCGATGTACGAGTAGGGCGGCTTCACCAGGCTGCTCTTGGGCTTCGACGAGGCCGCCGAAGAGGAAGACGAAGAGGAGGAGGAGGAAGAGGAAGAGGAAGCCGAGCTGGCCCCTTCCTCGCCGGCGGCGCCCTTCTCGCCCTCCTCGGCCCCGGGCTCCTTGGCCTCGGGCGCCTCCTCCTCCGCCTGCGAGGCGGGCAAGGGCAAGGGCAGGGGCACCCGGGGACCCTCCAGCAGGCCGACCGCCCCGTCCGGGCCCTCCTCCGCCGCCGACGCCTCGTCGCCCTCGTCGCCCACCACGTCGATGTCCACGTCCTCGGCCGTCAGCACCGTCTGGCCGGACATGTCGCTGGCGCTCAGGCTGCCGGACAGGGTCATCCCCGCGCCGGAGAAGAGCAGCAGCAGCAGCAGCAGGAGGAGGAGGAGGAGGAGGAGGAAGGAGGAGGAAGACTTCTCCCGAGGAGGAGGAGGAGGGTCTTGGGAAAAGGAGGGGGGAGAACAGCAGCCCCCCGCCTCCCCAAGTGCCTCAACAACAGGTAGCGGGGCTGGAGGGGAAAGAAGGGCTCCCACTGCCTGCCTGGCCCTTCCTTTCTACTGATCGAAGGCAATTATCCTCTCTCAAGCTCTTCTCCGGCCATCTCAACTTCTTATAGGAATAGGTGTGTGGAGAGCAAGCAAAGCTAGACCTCCACAAAAAGGGGGAGGGGGTCTATTTTCTTTTTCTCCCTCCCCCTTTCCTTTTCTTCTTTCCTCCCTCCTCCCTTCCTCTAGTCCTTCCTCTCTTCCTCCCTCCCTCTATCTATTCCTCTCTTCCTTCCTCTAACTATTCCTTCCTTCCTCTCTCTGTTCCTTCCTCCCTCTATTCCTCCCTCCCTTCCTCTATTCCTTCCTTCCTTTATCTATTCCTCCCTCCCTCTATCTATTCCTCTCTATTCCTCCCTCCCTTCCGCTATTCCTTCCTTCTTCTATCTATTCCTCCCTCTCTCTATCTATTCCTTCCTTCCTCCCTCTATTCCTCCCTTCCTTCCTCTATTCCTTTTTTCTTCTATTTATTCCTTCCTTCCTCTATCTATTCCTCCCTCCCTTCCGCTATTCCTTCCTTCTTCTATTCCTCCCTCTCTTCCTCTATTCCTTCTTTCTTCTATCTATTCCTTCCTTTCTCTATCTATTCCTCCCTTCTTTCCTGCTCTAGGGTCCAGCTCGGGCGGCCTCTTCTCCCCTCAGTGGCATCTGGGGCTGGGCTCCGGGCGTCGGGGCGTCGGAGGTCTCTCCTTTCGGCAGAGGGAGGGGGAGGGGGCCTGTGGGTGGGGGTCTCCCCTCCCTCTCTCTCTCCTTCTCCTCCTCCCTCTCTCTCGCTCCTCTCCCGATCTGCTCACCTCGAGGGGAGGGAGGGGAAGCAAGCAGGGGCGTCGTCGAGGCTGCTGCTGCTGGTGTTGGTGGTCTGGGAGGCTGCGGAGACGGGTCTGCGCTCTCTGGTCCCGGCGGAGCTCCTTTCCCAGCTCTGCCTCGGCCTCGGGATCGCGGGGGAAGGAAGAGGAGGAGGAAGAGGCGGAGAGATCCCCTCAAAGAAGCGCCTCCGGACCTGCGATCCGACCCGATCCCTTCTCAGCGCCGCAGGTTAGATTTCTGTCCATCCGCTCTTGCCATCTCGACTCTTTTCCTTGCCTTCCCCTCTCTTTAACCCCCAAAACGCAGACAGGCACCCCCTTTCCCCTCTCTTTTCTTCATTTCTGTGTTGGGTGTCAGAGAAGAGAGAGATTCCTCCTTGCAGGAAACGGGGGGGGGGGTGTTAAAGAAAAACCAGCGGCGTGACCAGGACCCTTTGAAAGTCCCCCTTTTTAAAAAGGCTGCCTGATAGATTACTTTCCCGTTCCAGATATACTCCGAGGAGGCGGGGCCACGTGACGCTGTGACGTCAGCGCCCCACAACCGAGCCGGGCAAAACTCAAGTTGTTTCAGGGGATTGTCAACAAAGAGAGAGAGAGAGAGAGAGAGAGATTGAGAGAGAGAGGCCGGCTAGGCTTTCCCCTAGTCCCCTCCCTTGACATCCTTGAGTGAGGCACTTTCTCTTTCCTTCCAAACCAAAACAAACCCTAGAACCTATTGCACTTTCCCACCGCCACACTTTTGTGCAGTTTGCTTTGGAAAAACAACAACAACCAATTGATTTTAGTTGCAAAGGGCTTTCTTTGCAAGGAAGGAACAAAAGGAATGAATTGGACCTTCTTGGGAGCCGAGAGCAGGGAGGTAACACCATTATATAGCAGGCATGGGCAAACCTCGGCCCTCCAGGTGTTTTGGACTTCAACTCCCACAATTCCTGGCCTCAGGCCCCTTCCTTTTCCCCCTTAAGCGGCTGAGGGGGGAAAGGAAAGGGCCTGAGGCCAGGAATTGTGGGAGTTGAAGTCCAAAACACCTGGAGGGCCGAGGTTTGCCCGTGCCAGGCGTATAGGGATAAAGCCTCTGTTTTCTTTCTCTGCCCCTCTCTTCTCGTCCTAACGTCCCAAAACAGCATCAGCTGGGAAGAGGGGATTAGGAAATGGCTATCGATTTCTCTATTAGCTTCCTTGCAAATAGGAATAAAACAAAAAGGCGTAAAACAGCAAAAGGAGAGACGAGAAAACATTCAAGGAGGAAGAGAGCTTTGTTGTGATTAGTAGGGCTTCGTGGGGGGTGTTGAGGACGTCACCGTCGCTCATTTGCATATTAAAATAGAGGAAAAGAGGAGAGGGCTGAGTGGGAAGGAAGGAGAGCCAAGGTGGAAGGCCAACGACGTCCCGAGGAAAAAGGAAAAGAAAAGAGAGAATTGGGAAAAAAATGGATGGGGAGAGAGTTGTCAAAAGTTGGTGGCGAATTTCGATTTCCTCTTGTATTGTCAAGGGTATCGATTTCCACGGAGAACCATCACTTTGGGGCTTAGGAAGGGAACGCTTTGCTCCGTGGGTGGCTTTAGGTTTTCTCTTCGTTATCCTGGGGGTTGTTGTTGTCATCACCGTCCGTGGTTTCGGTCCACACCAATCTCGACAGACCCGTGGCTTCTGAATCCTCCCTGGGAAAAAAAGAACAAAACGATTTCCCCTCGCCCCAAATAAAGGCTTCCTTCTAGTTTTTTGTTTTCTCCGATTGTACGTCATCCCCACCCAAGACAAGATAGAGAACATTTTACAGTATTACAGGAAAAATACAATAATCTTTCTTTTTTAAATGTAGGGGTTTTAATTTTTTTTATATATAAAAGGAGATAAAAGGATGGCGGGGATGCAATAGGGAAGGAGAGAAGGGCCCTGTTACGATTGAATTGGAGGGAAACGAAAGAAAAAATGGAGGGAAGAGTGAGGAATAAAGGAGGCTGATTTATTCTCTACCTAAAGGGGAGGAGAAGGAGAAAGGAAAGAGGGAAGGAAGGAAGGGAGACTCCCGTCCGGTTGTTGAGTCGGGAGGTCTGGTTGTTCCAGTTGTTTCTTCTAGGAGAATCTGGCATCCCTCTCTTCCTTCCTCCTTTCTTTCGTCTTTTCCTTCCCTCCTTCAATTCTTCTTCCCTTCTTTCCTTCCATCAATCCTTCCTCCCTTCCTTCCTTCCTTCCTTCCTCCCTCCCTTCCTTCAATCCTCAATCCTCCCTCCCTTCCTTCCATCAATCCTTCCTTCTTCCCTCCCTCCCTCTTCCTTCAATTCTTCCTTCTTCCCTTCCATCCTCCCTCCTTTCTTTCCTTTCTCCCTTCCTCCCTTCAGTCCTTCCTTCCTTCTTCCCTTCCTTCAATCTTTCCTTCAATCCTTTCTTTCTTCAATCCTTCGTTCCTTCTTTCCTCCCTTCCTTCAATCCTGCCTTCCTCCCTTCCTTCCTTCAGTCCTTTTTTCCTTCCTTCTTCCCTTCTTTCCTCCCTTCCTTCAATCCTTTCTTCTTCCCTTCCTTCCTTTTTGGTGAAGTCTGAAGGTGATTAGTCCATGTAAGGTCTTCAGCCATCTCAACTTGTCACCGGATTTGTCCTGGGAACAGGAATGGAAGAAACAACCAGAAACAGTTCCCCAGGAAAATAATAGTTTTGTCTTTTGTTTTCCTTCCTTCCTCCTTATTACCCTTTCTGTCCCTTTTCCTTTGCTTCCCATTTCTCCATCCTGCCTTCTTTTCTTCCTTCCTATTTCTCTCCTTCCCTCACTTCCTATTTCCCCTTCCCCTTCCTTCTTTCCTTCCTCTATTTGCTTCCCTTCTTATTCCCCTTCTCCTTCTTTCCTGTTTCTTCTCTCTCTTTTAGGACTGAGTTATATTTTGGCCATTTTTGTCTGTGCTGTGCATTCGCCTCCTTTTTCTTGGTTATAAATGACCCCCCCCCCCAAATCCTACCTTCGCCTAAAAGTGGGGGAAGCAGAAAGGGCCTGCTCTAAAAATGTCTCTAAAAATCGATCCCGAGAGTGAAGGAATTCCCCCTTTCCAAGCCTGGGAAAGAAGGACCTTGAGCAGGGTTGGGGATGTTCCAAAGAGAGCCTACTTTGGGGGAAACCCACGGAACAAGACTCGGGCTGGGATAAGAGATTTCCCCTCTACACTCCTTTGTAAACGTTGCTTTTGTCCAAAACTCCTGGAACTAACTGCGGGCCCCTTCCACACAGCTGAATAAAACCCCACATTGAATAGGAATATATGGCAGTGGACTCACGGCCGTTCCACACATAATATCAAGGCTGATAATCCCACAATATCTGCTTTGAACTGGGTTATCTAAGTCCACACTGCCATATATTCCTGTTCAAAGCAGATAATGTGGAATTATATTCAGCTGTGTGGAACGGCCTTCAGATAACCAAGTTCAAAGCAGATATTGTGGAATTTTCTGCCTTGATATTCTGGGTTATATGGCTGTGTGGAAGGGCCCTGACTTTTTTTTTTTGTTTCGTTTCCTTTTCCGGACCCCTTCCTTCACGTTTTGTTGATCTTGGGCTCCTTGAGGCTTTGCCTTTCCACTTCCCTTCCAAGAGACCTTCTAGACGGGATCGCAGAGACTTATTTGCCCACGCGTGTAGAGGAAGGAGTGGGCACACGTCCACGCTCGACCCACAAGGCAGTGTATTTTAAATCATTCAGTCTCAACTACAAAAAAAATGCACACCAACATCAACTGGATAATATTCTTGTTATGCGTGTTTTTTTTTCCTTCCCCGAAGCTAAACCTTGCAAAAGTTGGGCTCTTTGCGCCTCTTGGTGAGAGATCCTTCTGGACTTGTCTTGAGGGGTTTCCATCAAATCTCAGGGGAAAACATAACGCGGGGTGGAAGGCAGGGAGAGGGAAATCCTCCCTTCCCTCCGTGGCGCTTTCCCCTCCCTTCTCCCCCTCTTTCGACACAATAAAAGTCAAATTAATTGATTCATACTATTAATTAGGGCGCTTAGCGTGAAAAGAAACGTTTCCCCTCGATTAGGGCTCTATTGTAGGAACCTCTTGTTCGGGCGAGGTTGCCATCTGAGACGGGGAGGGAGGGAGGGAGGCTCTCCCAGGCTCCAGAGTGGGGAGGGAGCTCCACATTTTCCCTCGCTTTGGGTGCATCTACACGGCAGAATGAATGCAGTTTGGACTGCCATGGCTCAGTGGGTGATATTTAAAAGGTAAAAATGATGTCACGTCCGTTTGGCAAATGTGAATCTCCATAGAGACCACCTTTTGAAAACTACTAGTCAGGTAAATCATGACCTTGTGAGAATTCAACTCTTTGAACAGCAGTAATGTAATGGTACACTGGTAACTCAGTTGTTAGACTGAAGAACCATGTTTTTAAACTGCCAAAGATAAAGACATGCCATTACAAAAATATATTCGGTTAGCATGGTTGTTTCTTTGAAGTTGAGTTTACAGTTGCCCACCTGTCCTCCCTTAAAACCTCTTAGTTAAAATATACTCTCAGGAAACAAAAGCAAAGTAATCTTCTTTTA